CCAAATTCACCTCAAAGACAAAGAAATATCAGGACACTACCTAAGGGATAACAACCCTGGACGGTCTGGTTACAATATAACCATCCCAGACACTCGCCCTAGGACCCTGGCAATAATGCATTCCAGCAACAGCAAAGTGGCTAGAAAACCAGTTGAACAACTCAACAAGATGCTACGAATTCAGCGATTAGAACTAATCACCCCCCATTTGTTTGTTTGTTTGTTTGTTTTGTATTTAACGCCGTGGCGGCAAGGGCGTAGACGCCCTTGCGGCAGACCTCCCGAAGGGTATATGGCGTGGAGGGCCGCGGGTCCCAGCTATATACTCTAAGTACACGCCGCTTCCTAACGTCCTCCAAGTCTTGCCCGTAGGCTGCTATGTGTTCTGTCCTTCCCTAGTTCCCGCTGGTGCCCTAGTTCCGTTATAGCCACTTCCTTTTCCCCTGGTAGAGGTAGTTCGTTAATTAGAGAGTAGGCTGTAGCCTATCTCTTAGTACCGCGGGCAGATCTTCTGGAAGAAGTCTGTCACGGTAAGGAAGGCCTGGAAGCCCTCTGAGTCGATAATTAGCCCCTTGAAGTACTGCTCCAGAGAACCCATAGGTCCTAGAGGCTCCTGTCGACTATAAGGGTGGAGGATAGGCCACCGTTGCCTCCTCGCTAGTGTCTTTCGGCAGTAGACTAGGTGGTCCACCTCCTTAGCCCCACCGCAGGAGCAGGTAAGTAGTGCTTCTGTATGGTTAAAGCGTTGATGGTACTGTTCAAAGTCTCCGTGGCCTGACCGCGCCGCGAGGAGGTGATGAAGGGTAGCCCTATGGAGGGCAAGTTCAGGGGGGCAGGCAAGGGTAGCCTTGAGCCCCAGTTGCTTATAGCGGGGGGATGCTTCTTGCCTCCACTATTTCCTGTAATAGTGTCGTTTATGCTCCTGAGAAAGCCGTTTGATTCCTGATAGGGTGGCTAGTAGGCCTCTAGGGACTGGTAGCGTTATGCCCTCCTTAGCCAGGTTATCTGCTTCCTCGTTTCCTTTGATACCTTGGTGCCCTGGAGACCAATGGGTTTGTATGTTGTGTATCCTAGCTGCCTCTTGGATCTCTAGGAAGGCAGCTTGTGAGGAGTCTGGGACGTCGCCGCGTATCCCCTGGATGACGCTGGTGTTATCGATGCAGGTATGTATAGGCTGGCCTTGGGAAGTAAGGAGGGCCCTTTTAAGCCCTGCCCTCGCCCCCTCTGCCTCGCCATCAAATACTTCTGCAATGCCGAGACGGCCACACCCTTGGGCTATCCGTCTATTACTGCGGTAGATAACAAAGCCGAACCCTGTAGCCCTATTAGGGGCTTTAGAGCCGTCTGAGTAGATGATTGTATGGTTATATGGCACAGTCTTAAGCCAGGCTTGAAACGACTTAGCTGCATCCTCCTTACTTTGTCCAGCTGTAGGGTCCTGTGATCCTGAGAGGTACTGTGGCTGTAAGAGTATAGGCCTGGGGCACTTGGGTAGGAGGGCTGCTGTTCTTTGTAGCCTCGTTTGCTGCCGGCCTTGCTGTAGAAGCCTAGGGACTAGGGGATGCCGTATATCAACCCTTTGCAGTCGTGCGGCGAATTGTAGGCGTGCTGCCTTAAGGGCTACTTTTGCTGTAGGCAGGCCAGCATCTCGGAGGAGGCTGCTAGTCGGCGTGGTCTTCCAAACAGGTAGGATGGCCCTTGCTGCTGCTGTTATAACCTTCCCTACCCTCTTAACCAGGCCCTTCTGCCCTGTACTAACTGTAGCCACCTGGTTGGTAGGACTGCTGCTAGCAGTAGTAGTGCTATTGTTCCTAGCTGGTCTATTTAAGCCTGCAAACCACGTCTCAGCTCCATATAGGGCAGTTGGAAGGACACAGGCAATAGCAGCTTGACGAGCCGCAGTAGCTGGGAGCCCCCCTTTGGTGTTTGATAGGTGCTGTAGGAACTGGGCTACCTTCTTTGCTGCTGCTACCTTTGTATCGACGTGGTGCCGGAAGGTGAGTTTCTTATCAAACCAGACCCCTAACCATCGTATAGGCTTAGTTGAGGCCTTAATAGTTAGGTCTCTTGCCTGTATATCTGGTAGGTCCTCTGTTTGTTTATGCTTCCGGCTAAAGTGGATTGCCTCACACTTAGCTGGGTCGAATGCAACCTTATTATCAGCTCCCCAGTTGAGGATCTGAGTTATCTCCTGACTGAGGGCTGTAGTGTTTCCCTCCAGGGAAGGGCTAGTAGCTAGCAGGCCTATGTCATCCGCATAGCCAAACCGTAGCTTCTGATCGTCAGCTAGGATATCTGCTATATATAGCAGAAAGAGGATAGGGGATAGTGGTGAGCCTTGTGGTAGCCCGCAGGTAAGAGGAAAGTTCTGTGTAGTAGTGTCCTCTAGCCTAACCTGGGCAGTTCGGCTAGAGGTAAAGGTATATATCAGCTTGATCAGGCTACTAGGCCAGCCCTGCTGTCGTAGCCTGATAATAAGTCGATTTCGTAGGACAGAATCAAACGCCCCTTTGACGTCCATTGTGGCCAGCGTTGCTGTAAGCCCTAAATCCAGAGCCCTCTCGATCTCATGGGTAAGACAGGTTGTTAGGTCGACTGCTGCCCTCCCTGGTAGGGCTCCAACCTGCTGTGGGCTGGCAACCCCTTCTAGGATAGTAAGGTAGGCCATCCTTTTTGCTATCAGCCGCTCTAAGCCCTTGCCTAAGCAGGATAGCAGGGATATCGGGCGCCAAGACCCAGTCTTAGAGAAGTCTGTTTTCCCTGGCTTCTGGATCATAACAACCTCTGCTTTGCGGAAGGTCCTTGGGAAGTAGCCTGTTTGAACGCATGCCTGGAAGAGCTGCTGTATAGGTGCAGCTATAAGGCCCCAAATAGATTGTAGTAACTTTGTAGTAATCCCATCAATCCCAGGGGTTGTAGCCTTTGTGAGAGTAGCCTGGCGTACTTCTTCCATACTGACTGTTTGCTGCCAGGGTATTAGACGCCTTATAACTATAGGAACAGTGAAAGGGTTCCCAGGTAGGTCGTCTGCAGCGTCAAATCTCTCTAATAGGGCCTTCCGTAAGGCCTGAGCTTTATCATAGGAGTTGTTGATTGCCTGTCCATCTACTATGAGAGGCGGGGCTTTTATAGCTAGGCTAGACTTACGCCAGCTCAGGATTTTATGTAGTTCCTGGTTAGACCTAGCCTCATTAATTTTTGTAGTCCAGTAAGCTTTCTTCGTCTTCCTAACCAAGGTTAAAAAGGCCTTCTGCTCCTCGAGGATAGGCGGCGGTATTGATAGCCTGGGTTCCTGGGCTTGTCGTTGCCTAGCCTTAATAGCTGCTCGGTGGGCCTCTGAACACTCCTCTGTCCACCAGGGGGCTCCCCTACCCCGGTTAGTCCGTCTCTTCCCTACAGCCTGAGTGGCTGTAGAGAGGAGGCTGACTAGTTGGGTAGCAAGGGTATCTATTTCTGCCGGAGCAGGTATTTCCCCTAAGGTGGGTAGGGCTGGGATCCCTACCTTTACCAAGTCAGCAAGTCGAAGTAGGGCTGAGTCTGGGACTGAGAGGTGACTAGTCTGGCGTCTCTGCTCCTGGATCTTATCTAGTGGGATAGTGGTTACAATAGCCTGGTGGTCAGCCCCTGGATGTAAGTGTGGGCTGATATAGGCCTCTGCAAAGGGGATATTCGAGAAGGTAAGGTCGAGTGCATGCCCATGAGTATGAGTAGAGGCCCCAAATTCCCCAATATACTCAAGATTGCAGCCTTCAGCCCATTCTGCAATATTATCCCCTTGATTCCGGCTTAGGGAGCCAGGTTCCCAAGAAGAGTGGCGGGCATTAAAATCCCCAGCAATAAGGGCTTTCTCTGGCGGTTGATAGTTTAAGAGGATATTTGTTGTATGGTTGGTAGGTTCCCCTGGAGACCTATAGATGTTTGTAATAGCAATATCGCCAGCTTTGATCCATAGGATGTCCCTTGATTGGGTAGGTCTTTGTTGCTGTATTTGTAGCTTTAGACTTTTTCGTATATAGGTCATAACCCTAGGCCTTGTTTCCCTGCTGTTCCAGAAGTCAACTGGCACATAAGAGTTATAGCCTGGGTGAGTGTTGATTTGCATCCTATCTCTATAGCCTATCCAGGGCTCCTGGATCAATACTATATCGATCTGATCTGTCCAGCATAGCTCTAGGAGAGCTGTATGAGCTGGGCTTATCTTCCCCACGTTACACTGGGCAACCCGTAGTATCCGTGGGGCAGCTGTTCTGAGCCTACTGCTCTGAGTCGAGGTTGAGGTGGGTGTAGGCATTAATAACGTTGTAATCAGGCTTTTGAGCCACCCGCTGGGCCCTGCTGCTTGAAGTAGCTGGGGTATGTTGGGTGGGTAGTGGCGGTAGGATTGGGTTGTTGTCGGAGAGTTCTGCTTCAGCCTCATTCTCATCCTCGTCCATACTGCTAGAGCTTGCCGTATCGCTAGCTTCCGCTACGATAATTGAGTCTTAGGTAGGGGTAGGGGCGCGTGGCCGCTTTGAGCCGGGCTGAGGGCTGGTCAGGCTGCTGCTAGGCTGCTGGTTGCAAGGAGCTTGGGTGCTGGTCTGGCTGTTCTGATAGAGGGCCTCATAAGCCTTCAGTCCAGCCTTACGGATCTGGGAGAGTTCCTTCCGGCCTGGGAGGGTAGGGGAGCCGTTGACCACTAGGGGCCTTGCTGGGCAGCCTTTGTGGTTGGCTTGGTAGGGGCCGGCACAGTTAGCGCACTTCGGTCTCGCTGTGCAGGGCCAAGTCTCATGGGAGCCTGAGGGCCTGCTGCAGTTACCACAGAGTGGCTGCCTCTTACAGTACCAGTTTGAATGATATCCCTGGCAACCAGGGTCATGTCTGATGAGGGTCTTTTTCCTCTGGATAAGCTGAGACCTGCTGCTTTGGTTGAAAAGTCTGAAGGGTGGCACTTCTACAGAGAAGGAGATAATCCAGGAGACCTCGTTTGTAGCAGGGTTTACGCCTAGGTGGGATTGACAGGCTCAGATAGGCTCCCGCCCTGTCTGGGCAAGGACCTCATCTTCTACCAGGGTGGCTAGGTCGAGGGCCTCACCATCAAGGGACCACAGCTTAGCAGGGCAGCGTGGGACAACATAAGTAAACCACCTAGTAGGTGTTTCAACCTTATAAGCTCCCAGGCTGTCCGCTAGTTTCTGTTTGTTTGTAAGAAGGGTTTGCTGGACCTGCTTGTTCAGGGGTCTCAGCGAGTAGCCTGTTGCAATGTGGTAAATATGTGGGATATCTGCCAGCTGCAGGCCAAGGGCCTGGCAGACCTTCCGGCGGAGGGCAAAAGGGGCATGCTTCCTAGCAGCCGTTAGGCCCTCCTCGGGGATGCGGGCAAAGACCTGGAGGTCCTCCTTTGGCTGGGCTAGAGTCTGAGTCTGAGCCTGGGGATGGATTGGGTTTTGGGTGCGGGCCGGGGCCGGGGCCGGGGCTTGGGCTGGGGCTGCAGCTGCAGATTCAGCCGAAGCTACCACCTTAGCCCAATTCCGGCTCGGGGTCGGGGCCGCCGTTCCGTTCCCCATGATCCTTTTCAAGGCTTGAACTACGTAGGTTGTAGCCTCCTTCGCGATCTGCTTCCTAGGCCCCTCAAAGCAAGAGACCACGTTGTCTACAGACTGGGCGATAGCCATAAAGACATCCTTTCGGGCTTCGTAGAGCTTGGCCTCTTCACTAAGGGCTGTAAGGACAGCTCCAGCAGCTGTCCCATTCACAGTTGAGGGCCCCTTAGCCGTTAAGGGGGTTGTCGTAGAGGCGTCGGGCTGGCTTCCCACGAGGCTGGGCCGGGCTGGCTGGGCCTCGGTATCGCGGCGGCGTTTAGCCCTTGAGGTTGGGGACGGCTCCGGAGGGGCTCCAGAGCCTCGATCAGGGCCGGTCGAGGAGGCCGGCATCGGTCCAGAGCCCGCCGGAGGCTGCGAGGCCATCGCGGGAGGGCGCTGGAGGCGAGAATTGAAGGGTTTTCCGCTGTTAAGAATTTTGGTGGTATCCCACGTATTACACTAACAGTGGATGCCAAGAAAAAATTAGGCGAGAGGGAAGTTGTAATCACCCCCCATATGACTAGCCAACAACTCCACCACAAAGAACAACAAATCCAGAAGGAAATAGAGCTAATCCAGCAAGAAGACGACAGACAAGTAAGACTATACTGACAACAAGAATCAGAAGAAGAACCAGAACACCAACACGATCCTCTAATAGAACAACAACTCCTCAGTATGACCAACAACTAGACTTTCGGAGAAGGAGAAAGCTCTTCCTATGACTCAGATAAACATCGCAACGTTACCTAATAATACGCTCAGACAGAGATAACCTATAGGTTCACCCCCAGTGTGGACGACTCTAGCTCTGAAGAGGAACCCAACAGCTAGGAAGGAAGAATCAAGCAACTTCTGAGATACTAAGAAATCGACATACTTTAAGACAAGCAATAACGTCACTTCTATAGCACCTCAGCAGCCTAACGAGACTGAGGCTACAACCCTCAGCTACACACGAAAGATCATCCCGCGCTGAGAAGCAACCACCAGCTTCACCAAACCCTCTTCTGGCCCCAGTGCTTCCACGACAAATGCAAGGAACACATAGGAGAAAAACACAACTACCAGTTCTACCCCAGAAGACATAACGACAAACCTATCCATGAGATCTACTCAACCTCCATTATGATCAGATAGACTATAGTGCTATTCGAAGATAACCTCGCAGTCTTTAGACCTAGTCCTCAGTTCCCCATGAGATGTCAACATAATAACAGCATGAAATAGGATGAATGCTAATAAGATGAATGCTAAGTTCACTACCAAAAAAAGGCATAAACCTAGAGAATCGCAAAGAACAGACCTAGACCCCCATAGGTTAGAATCTGCAAAAACAGCCTCGCAAAAGTATGACGAGAAGGAAAGCAAATCACCTACCTAGGACAACTAGAGCAGTCAAAAAACTAGACTTACCTACTGACGACAGATCACAACAGGCAACAAACATAAGATCTATTCACTAAATATCATAAGGATATAAGGGTAATATCAAACTCGAAGTTACTATCAACCAGCAGACAACACTCGCGCTGATCAACAGCAGAGCTGAAGCAAACTTCATTGCCCCCCAAGCCATCAATAGGCTAGAAATACGATGGGGAGGAAAAGAACGACCATATCAGTTACACACGGCAGAAGGAGAAGAATTCAAGTACGAAGGAGGTACTATCTATAATGAGACTGCACCCCTTGAGATGAGCTACCTGAATCGAAAAGAAAGAATCCAATTCAACATTGCCGATCTAGGAACATATGACATAGTGCTAGGACTACCCTGGCTATAAATAAGCAACCTATAGATAGATTGGAGCAAAGGCTAACTCCATTAGGACCATGATGATTCAGTCCCTAAGCAGCCCTGTCAGAATCAGGCCTCAAACGAATCAATACGACAAGGAACAGCAAAACGATACCTCTGTTACCTTAAGGCAAAAGAAGCTGTATCACAACCACTAACAACAATAGATCTTGAACAGAAGAACGATCTACTTCTGTCTATCCCAGAAGAATACAGAGTTTATGAGAAACTCTTTGCAGCTGAATTAGAAACCAGACTGCCCGAACACACCAGTTTCAACCACGAAATACCCCTCAAAAAAGGGAAGGAACCACGCTTCAACAAAATCTATGGACTCAACCAGACAGAAATAGAAGCCCTAGACAAATACCTTGAAGAAAATCTCAAGAAGGGATATATCAGACCCTCAACGTCACCAGCAGGAAGCCTAATCCTGTTTATACCTAAGAAGAACGGAAAACTACGATTATGCGTTAACTACCGCATGCTAAACGAAATGACGATCAAAAACCGCTACCTACTGCCACTTATCGATAAGATGAGACGACTCCTTCACAGAGCTAACTGGTTCACAGCCCTCGACCTCAAAGGAGCCTATAACCTGATCAGAATGAAGCAAGGAGAAGAATAGAAGACCGCTTTCAGAACACAAAAAGGACATTTTGAGTACCTCATTATGCCTTTCAGCCTCACTAACGCCCCTGCAACATTCCAAAATATAATCAACTAAGTCTTACGCAAATATGTCGACATCTGCATAGTAGTCTATCTTAACAACATCCTTATCTTCTCATCAACACTTAAGAAACATAAGGAGGATGTATACCACGTCTTATAAGCCCTCTAAGAAGCTAAGCTATTAGTTGAACCTGAGAAAAGCGAATTCCACACACAGAGGGTGGAATACCTCAGATTCACTATCACCCCTAGAAAAGTCTATATGTCAGAAAACAAAGTCAAAGCCATCAAGGAATAGCTGGTACCTAACAACCTCAAGGAAGTCTAAGGATTTCTAGGTTTCATCAACTTCTACCGCAAATTCATCAAAGACTATAGCAAGATTAACGCAGCTCTCACAAGCCTCAGCCGCAAAGACACGCCCTTTATATGGGAAGAACCATAACGAACAGCATTCCAGAAGATCAAGGACCTCATCGCCAGCAAGCCTGTCTTAAGCATTCCAGATCCAACAAAACAGTTCGAAGTAGAACCTAACGCATCCAACTATGCGATAGGAGCATAATTATCTCAATAAGATTCAGAAGGACGACTACACCCGTATGCCTTCTTTTCCTGCAAGCTCCACAGACCTGAACTTAACTATCAGGTTCACAATAAGGAACTTATGGCAATCATCGAAGCCTTCAAGGAATAGAGACCTAAGCTCTCAGGAACCACATATGAAGTACTTATGTATTCAGACCATAAGAACCTTTCACACTTCACAACTTCAAAAGTGTTAAATAAACGACAGATTAGATGGTCAGAATTCCTATCAGAATTCAACTTCCAAATCATCCACCGCAAAGGATCAGACAATAGCAGAGCTGACGCTCTCAGCTGACGACCAGACTACAACATCCCAGTACCTGAAGAAACCCAGGTGATTCTCAAAGGAAATAACGACGGAGACCTAATGCCAGCAACCAAACTCTTAATAATAGCCGGACGATCTAGTACTAGCCCGCCTAACGAACTAGACGACGAAGCAATTATAGAGTTTCACGCTCGCCCTGCATATGGTCACCAAGGAATCATAAAGACCTAGAAACAACTACAACAACAATATAGAGAAAAGGTCACCAGAGAACGAGTGGCAAAAGCAATTAAGGATTGTGAGGTCTGCCTGAAAAGCAAACCCACTTAACATCAGCCGTACAGCATGCTACAACCCTTACCTATGCTGCAAACCGCCTAGCAATCTATATCCCTCGACTTCATCGTCAAGCTACTGAAGTCTCAAGAACCTCTTATAGGAACACACTTTGACAGCGTTCTTATTATTATGGACCAACTCACGAAGTACGCCTACTTCATCCTATACAAAGAAGCAAGTAACGCCGAAGAATATGCCTACATATTTCTTAAGTATATCATCGCTAACCACAGAACGCCCAAAGAGATTATATCAGACAGAGATAAGATCTTCACTTCTAAATTCTGGAAGTTAATCACATCACAACTTAGCATCAAACAATTAATATCCACTGCATTCCACCTGCAGACCGACAGACAAACAGAACAAATCAACTAAATCCTCGAAACATATCTCCACGCCTACGTCAACTATAACTAAGACAATTAGGTTGTATTGCTACTAATAGCCTAGTTCGCCTACAACAGCGCAATAGGAGAAAGTACCAAGGAATCCCCCTTCTACCTCAACTATGGATTCAAACCAACCGCCTATAGAGAACCCTAAACAGGCCTAGCTGCAGTAAAAGCTGTCGCCTCAATACGCTAAATCAAGGATATCCAGGAGAACGCACATAAAGAACTTAAATTCATACGACAAAGAATAACAAAATTCAGCAACAAATGAAGGATTGAGGGACCAACCTTAAAAGAGGGAGATAGCGCCTATCTTATATGGCGAAACATTAAAACAAAGCGACCAAACGACAAACTCAACTATAAAAAACTCAGACCTTTCAAAATTTCACAAGTAATCTCACTAGTCAACTACAAACTAGGACTCCTAGAAACCATGAAGTGTCACCTAGTATTCTATATCTCACTCCTCAAACCAGCACTATGTGGATCACAGACAAACGATATTATTATTGTTGAAGATAACAAACCAGAGTATGAAGTCGAACGAATTATCGACCACCTTAAAGAACCAGAAGGGTATTGATACCTCGTCAAATAGAAAGGATACAGATATAAAGACAACATATAGGAACCAGCTAAAAATATCACCAACGCAGCAGAAGAACTCATAATCTACTGGCAACAACATTAAGAACGAGAAGTCACACTAGCACCTGTTATACTAGCCAAAAAGAACAGTAGATATAAGCAGATCAAGCACCCACACTACTTCACTAGACCACCCACTGAAGTAGATCGACCGCGACAAGGAAAACTATTTATCCGCCTAGGAACACCAAAAGCCAGTTAAGAAACCTCAGGAGAACCCACGTTCAGAGGAATGCCTAAATCAACCACCCTAGTACCCAGAGAAGACCAATCCGACTCATTCTGAGCACCCCACAGCGATAAATCCTCTATCACCCAGGACTCCTGAGCTTCCAGAGCACGTTCCTCAGCCTCCCATTCATCCACAGACTGCATTCCCTAACGAATCAGATCCAAACCACACTCCTTTAAGAACCTTTTCTGTCTCCAAAGACGAGACAAACGACCCAGAGCGGCAGCAAGCTGAGTCTGCAGCACCTCCAACGCCTCCTCAGCCTCTTCCTCCTCCCGCTCCACTTTCTTTTGCTTATTAAAATAACGATTCACTACCGCAATAAGTTAGCAACACTAGAGAACACTAAGGTGCTAAGGTACTTATAAGCATTCGCCATATCACCACCATCACAGTTTGAGAAACCCTGCTTCACACACTCGCCATAACGCTTCGAGTTGGCGAGGTCTATTTTGCACACCTAATTATGCTGAAAACAAGGGGAACAAGGCATTACGTCGTAACTATAGTGATCAACCAAAGCACCGAGAGCCTTACGGTTGCGCTAAATCTGAGTATGATGAGTCTCATGAGAATCTAATTTCTGAACGCAACCTAACATAGTGTCAGCATCATGAGTAAATCAGGAAGCATAATTAACGAAACCCCAACTGGGGACCAACAACCTACTTATATTAGGTCTTAAGGATAAGACCTTTAGAGAGGGGACCTGATGTTACAACCTGTTATGCATGGATAACAGTTAACCGACCCACTTAGGCGTCGGGCGGCTAGGACAGGATATTTATACTGCAGAATCACAGGAACAACAGGAACTCACTTGGTAACAGAAGAACTATAGTCTAAGTCACATGATGATAAGATAACGATCATATTGGATCAATATGATCTAACACAACTTAGGGGCCAAACGATCATTCTGGATCAGAATGATCCAGATCGACCCAAGGTACAAAGGAATATGTTCAGAATTAGACTTATATATAATGACCCTGAGCCTGGCTCATGGTCAGACTTCCATAGCTCTTCAGCAATCAACTTAGTATTCATCCTCACGGATACTCTCAGCTTACCTTCACTGCAAATCACTTGTTGAGTCTAAGACTGATCACCTTAGCCTCTGAAGACCCAATCTACTACAGCCTACGAACTACGACCTACGACCACGACCCAGTGTACTGTTAGAACGTATCAATCCCCAGCTTCTGTTAGCAGACCCTACTGTCGGATAGCTGACCGTAACACTGGGAAACTTATGCCTGTCGTCGTCCCTTGCCCTGAAACATAACGCGCACCTCCCGCGTCGCCGGTGAAGCTGCGCGAGAAACGCTTCTATGTCGCCAGCCTCGCCTATCTTCTCCATCCTAACCCTCTATTAGTCCAGCTTCGCATGCCTGTCTAGCCTTAGAAACTCCGCCCAGCCTGCTTCGCCATCCTCGCTAATACAGTTAAGAACAAACCCTAGCTCCAGCCCTTTTCTGTACCTGCAGCAGACGTCGCAGACTTCTTCGTCATCCTTACAACCAGAGCGGTTGCTTCTCCTATCTATCACTCAGTTGAGAATGATCCACCTGTATTCGTCGCTAGCGAGATACTCTTCTACCGCCGCCTCCCGTTATAGACCGCTACTGCTGCTGCTGCTGCTGCTGCAGCATATAACAACTGATACGCTCAGCTGCCTGTCGCAACCTGCCCGCCCGCTCTCCTGCATAAATCGCCAGAGTCCTATTAGCATGTCAGCGTGGATCATAAGCCGCACGTCTAGGATGTTGATGCCTAGTCCCAGTGCGTTCGTTACAACCATGACGCCCTCAGCCCTATTGCTTCGACGCCACGCCTCAAGCTGAGCCGCCTTGCCCTCAGTTAAGTTGACGTCGCTGAAGAATATGGCGCACCCTAGCGCTAACCCCAGACGCTCCACCCGCTCAATCGACGTGGCGTACATAACAGCCTTGCCTCGCCTGCTGCCAGCCAGAAGCTTATTCACCTACTGGACTGCTACCTAGCATACCTTAGCCTCAACTGCGTTAAGTTTCACCAGCTCTGCATCATCTTCGTCTTGTTCTGTGCTACTGACGCCACTGACGCCCTCCACACCAGCCCTCTCGCTCGCTGTGACGACAGAGTATCAGATGTTCTTGCGCGTCGTCGCCGTTCGGAACATCCTCACCTAGCTGGCCTCCAGTCGCATAGCGTGGAAGAATGCTGCTTCGTCCGTTAGCGTGAGCGTTGCCGTTAAGCATATCGTCTGTACGCCGAACTTGCAGATCGCCTCTCCAAGCTCTCTAAGCTGTGGCCGGAAGCTCTGTGATCCTTTGAGCACGACGTGGCATTCGTCCACGACGACGCGGTCTAACGCCTGCCTCCCTTCTAGCTGTGCGATAAAGTCTCTGAATCCCTTTGTGACGGCCGACTCAGGTGTGATGAAGATGATGGACGCCGCCTGGTTATTCTTGCGGCTTTGCCACACATGCAAAGTGATCCCCACCTTAACGTATCGCCTGTATAGATCTATCTGCAGCGCTACTAGCGGCGTCATAACCACCATCACTCCGTCTGGCGAGCAGAATGCTAGCAGTATGAATGAGACGCTCTTGCTACCGCCCGTCCCTATCACCTGCACGATCGGCATGTGCCTGCTGGTGATAGCGAGCACTGCTTCTCTCTGGTTTCCGCGGAATATCGCCAAGTCGTCCCCTGTCATCTGCTGCAGCTGGCCCTCTAAGTTGATTCTCCTCAGCTTCTCAAATCGTTGGAGCCTAGCTGCAAGCCGTGGCCCTTCATACCCCTCTGTCTTTTGCCTCTTGCAGCCCGTGGAACCCTATTTCAACTCTGAATCCTCAGCCCTGAAGCCCAGAAACCTATGCTACTGATGGCTGACTTAGCGGAACTGTTGCTGCCTCGCCGCAAGACTGCTGCTGAACTGCATAAGCTCTCGCGCGTAGATCATGCCTGCTATCTGCATGCTGTGCCCCGCCTGTAAGTCCCACAGGCTGTCCTCAACCTCGTCCGTCCCCTCTTCCGATCCCACGCTGGCGTCGTCTCCGCCCAGCCGTCCAAACAACTCGTTCAAGTAGCAGTTAGCGATGCTGATAGCGATATGTCGCTATATGCTCACATTAACCTAGCATCCCAGCAGTCTCATGCTGGTCTGCTGTATGATCCGCTGCGCTCTGTCTGTCGTCCACGTTTGCTCCTCTTTCCACATCTAGTCGCCCACACTTATGCTCTTATCACCAGCCTCATCTTTATTTATACTATGATTATTACTATCCCCAATATCTATATTATTACCACTTTGCTCTTCTGATCCTGCTGCTGCGCTGCTGGCTTCTGAGTCCCTCTGCCGGATGATGTTGTCTGCCTATATGAACGCGCTGTACCTGCTGGCCTCATGCATAATGCCCTGCACCTCCTGCCAGAACGGCAAGATAAGCCAAAGATACTATATAATAAGCTCGCTAACCTCCCTCAGGAGATATCAGTAGATCACCTTCGCCTGCCTGGTTGTCTAGTATCCTTTGTGGTATGCTGTGATGAAGCATAATATTTTGTTGTGCACTATAATATTGCAGACGCCCCTGTTAACTGTGTTGACCGTCTGCAGACCTGCAAGCTCGCTCGCCTGCGCCAGCTGTCTGCTGAGCATATACAGAAGCATCCACAGTCGCTCGCAGAGTCATTTAAACGTCCTACCAAACTCCTACACAGCTGACGGCTGGAATAGCCGGTCTGTCGCCCTGCGACTGTTGCCTAAGCTGCTGCTCAGTCCCCACCGTTCTGCAGCAGCAGGTGACCACGCCAGCCGCATAAACAGCTATCTGTCCCCAGCAGAAACCCAGCTGTTGCGGTTGTTGGTGAGAAATAAGTACCTAGGCTTTGTCTCGCTGTGGTCGTCTTCAATTGACGACCATAGGATGGCTGGCAGTTATGACTGCATATCGCTTTTAGGACTGTCTGCTGAACCTGAATCCTCTGTCGCCATCAGCTCTGCAAGCAGCTCCTGCGTCTCTCAGACCAGCTTATATAGTGCGTCCGACAGCTGCCCTATTATGAACTATACCCGCCTGTATGATATGCAATCGCCAACCTAGTTGATAACACCAGCTGCTGCTGTGTTATATTAGATATGCATCCTATACGTCTGCGTCTTGAGAATCTAGTCTATCAGCGTTAGCTCCACATCCTTATCGCTTGTCGTCTGCGTCATAAACCGCCGCACTTTCGCCTGCATATGCTGGAATAAACTCTGCGCTATATCCTCTACTTCATCTTTCCCTAGAGACCTTTCCAGCTCGGCAACCTCATTATTACGCTTGGTGTATACCTGATGGATCACTAACATACACGCTATCTTAATAACAGCTGAGTACTTTGTCGTGTAGTCTGTGATCTGGACCCAGCTGCTATTCTCAGCAATCCCTATCACCGCGAGAGCGCTGAGAAGAGCACTGCTGTAGTCTCCGCCCTTCAGCTGGTGGTCCAGCATGCTGATAAGCATGTCGAGTGCTGCGCGTTCCAGCTTCTCCTGCGTTTGATGCCCCATCCCTATGCTGGCTGCTTCCGCTATCTGCTCGAATAAGTCCCACGCCTCTCCCTGTGACGGCGTCAGTTTATACGGCGGCTGCTTGTCGTCGTCTATTTCCTGCGTGCGGAACCAGACGCATAACAGACTTAGCCACACGCCCTTATATCTCGCCCACGTGTCGTCCTCTATACGGTTGTCGAACAGCCTCCTTGGTTTGACGTGCGCTTCTATACGCTGCGCCTCGAACAGCACGGCTAGCCTGACGGTATTAGGAGCAGACGTTGCTCAAGCCTGGTCCAGCACGCGGTCGACCGTCGCCTATATCGCCTGAAGCACAACCTCATCTTCATTGATGGGAGCTGTTGTGTTGAAGAGTGCGCTGGCACTGAGCCCTTTTAAGTGCACCGCCCATCCTACACAGGCCAGCCACAGGCCAGCCACAGGCTGGGCTTAAGTCTTTCGTTAGCGACGTGGATCAGCTTGTTGTGGCTCGTCTTCACACGTTCTGCTTAGACTTTCTGGAGATCTTAAACGCGGTCCACCGCCTGTTGAGCCAGGCTTCTATTTGGAGCGCTTTGTAGAGACTTGTCGGCTGTTTGTCCCCAGGCCACCTCAAACCATCGCTTGCCACGCTGGGATGCGCAGAATCTCTGACATTGCACGCCAACTGTCCACAGCACGCTCCTGACCTCGCTCGCCTAGCCTCTCACATCGCCGCCTCTCTTTCGAGCATTAACCTATCCATATTCCTTGCAGCAATAGGCTTAGATCGTTTGAATCCGCTGGCATATGAAACTGCACGCATTGCAACGGATTCCGTTTGTGACTGGCGGCGCGATATGGGGAATCAGCTCTGTTGTGGGGGCTGGATACTGGATGTTACTGAGTTGGTCCTGAGTTCGAATAATTCCATGGATTCCCGTTATATAGGCGTATATGCTGTTCCTCTCTGCTGGTTTTAAGAGCGGATGGCGCGTTCTCAGATGCAAAGCGACTTCGTCTGTAATAACTGCGTATTGATATTCTTTGTATACTGCGAGCGAGAAGTTAGTAAGAATCACAAGTGGATCTATAGCCTCGTCCAGTCTTAGAGTGCAATCATGAGCGAAGTTGGAAGTTGTTCATATTTTCTAGCAGAAGAACGTCGAAAATATCTTATTTAACCCTTTTAATAAAGTATGCTAACTATTAGGTTACTATGGGTTACTATTAGAACAAAATTCATGAATTTGATGATTTAATTAGGTTGAAATAAGCTGGCGCTGGTGTTATCTAGATCATGGTGTCTCCCTGGAATGCTTACATAAGTTAGTGGTTAACAATACTGTCGTCAATTAGTCCAGACCGAGTAGGTCACTGTCAGCAGTTCAAGATCGTTCAAACCTGGATTAAATATTTATCAATTCAACTGGGTGTTCTACAGGCCAGAAACTCGGTCAAAAAGAATAACTCACTGTTATCTTCAAGTGCATCTATAATACAGACATTTTGGGCGCAGAAAGTTCAATGAATGATACTCGGCAAGATTTCAATGAATCTTACCCCCAGTCTTCGCGGACCCACTCTTTTTTTGGGTGGCAGTTTCGATGAATGATACAATCATTCATCGTTGCCAGTATGTTAGGCTTTCTAAGCGCGTCTAGGTCTAAACTAGCTAGGCATAGCATTCAGCAGGTGCGATACGATAGGTATTATTATGATACCCTCACTGAAGAAGTGCAGCTCTGCCTGACGTTTGGGCTTTGGACTGCTGACTTATATGCGGCTTGCAAAAGAGGACGTCGTTGGAGGGCTTGGCTAGTTCACGGGACAAGAAGCGGGAGGATCCGGCTTATGCACTCTAACGGTCTTGGCAAATCGGCGGGACCAATTTGAGATAAAAGCACCTTCCGCATTCAGGATCGCCCTAGAAGATGCTTGCAACATTATTGGAAGCCCTACGGCTTTCCGAAGGCCAAGAAAACCTTCGCAAATTACAGACCTTGAGCGTTTTGATTGAAGGAGCCTCAAGTGTAGGAAAATTCCGCGTGAGATGCGCGGATATTTCAGAGCAGTGGCCAGCCTGAGACTGCTTCACGCTATTTCAGCCAGGCAAGTAACCTATCTTAAGAGGAATCCGGATGCTCAATCGGTTCGGCAATTGAAGGTAGAGACATGTGGGGAAAAGGCCCTTCGATTCCAACGATTGGCAGCCAGTCGGGAGAGCTTCGCCTCCGAGTGATCCTGCCCGCGCAATCCGTGAACTGCAACCCTTCTTGAGGGATTTGAGCCAAGATGTTGGGAATATCGTATATCCAGAACTCGCTGGAGCGACGATCCTCTTGGCGTGAACAATAGAAGAACAAGCGATTGTGCGGCGAATCAAGGCAAGAATGAAACGAACGGGCGAGCGTATTTCCACCGACACAGCACGGGGGCGAGCTCGCAGATAAGCACTGGCCAGCCGCAAGATTGGTGCTTTATCACCCCAACGAGTCGGAAGAGTCTATTGCCGTTCCCAAGCAGGAGCTCCGCCGCCGCATTGACGAACGGCGGCTCTTTCGGACGACTTGGGGGGCGGGCGGGTTAATAATTATCACCCTCTCGCCTTGCCTTCGGCTGGCCGGGATCGGAGCCACTGCAGCACGGGCCATTATGGATCTCCATCTGTCGGTAGATGGCCGAAGGGTGCGTGAATCCATCAACTAATGGCAATCTGTCAATCTCCAAACGTCAATGCCTGGACCGGAGCAGAGGGGATGTACGTGTGAGATATATACTGATTCTTATTCGCTACCCCGGGCTGCAAGTTTGTCTCTCTCCATGGGGAAAATCATGAAGCGGATGCTCCACGGGGAAAAACGCATCCCCGGCCAGGGTAGCCGCCCCATTTGAGGCTCGGTGGAGCCTCAACTTTTCCAAGGGGACGCCCTGAATGCAGAGTGCCGGATATGACGACGACCATCTTTCATGGACTGCAATAGTCTTGCAGACTGCGGCCTCCAGAATCTGATCTGCTCAGTCTGTCTTGCTGCATTGTCAACAATATGCCTCATGCTCCCCAGTCCTCCACTCCGCAAACCCCGAAGTGGTTGCTCCAGACTATGGGGCAATGAAGATTCGAGCTATGGGGTTGCTCCACCTGAGAGAAAATACTTAGTGATGACCGGAGCCTCGACCTGTTCACATTTTCCTTCCCTCCTCATCCTCGAGAAGCACATTTCTCGACCATCACCCATTTCCGTCGCTTGACATTCCATTCAGCTTTTGTGTCGCTGCTATGGGTATCCTCACCGTTGTTGAAGAGCGGCCAACGCCGCCGTCGGTTTACAACTGGCGCATCTATGTGCTCGCCATCATCGCATCCTGTGGATCTTGCATGATCGGATACACCAGCGCATTTATCGGAACAACGGTAGCTCTCGACTCTTTCAAGGACGAGTTCGGACTCAATGACATCTCCAGCGCGGCAAGAAACCTTATCAGCGAGAACATCGTTTCTCTGTTTGTTGCAGGTGCTTTCTTTGGAGCCCTCCTCACATACTGTCTCAGCTACTTTATCGGTCGCAAGTGGTGCTTAGCGATTGGCGCCACCACGTTTTCGCTCGGTGCTGGACTTACCTGCGGTGCTACTGGTAACACTGGCTTGGGAATCTTGTACGCTGGACGCGTTTTTTCTGGACTTGGAACTGGCGTCGCGTCGGTGAGTCCGCCTCAGATACCGCTCAATATGAATGTCCAGTCGTTGACGATAAACTTCGCAGAACATCATCCCTATTTACATCTCCGAACTGTCGCCTCCTGCTATCCGTGGTCGTCTCGTTGGTCTTTACGAACTTGGGTGGCAGATTGGTGGTCTTGTAGGGTTTTGGATCAACGTAAGTAACGAACGAAAACTTCATATGGGAAAATGCCCCCCTAACACATGGCGTAGTTCGGTGTCGAAGCCCACGTCCCCCCTGGCCGAACTCAATGGATCATACCCTTCGCCGTTCAACTTATTCCATCCGGTCTGCTGTTGATTGGCTCTTGCTGGATTCGAGAGTCCCCGAGATGGCTCTTTCTCAAGGACTATCGCAAGCAGGCGATGGACAACCTCTGCTGGATTCGCCAATTGGAACCGAACGACATCTACATCCAGGAGGAGATTGCTGCTATTGATAAGATCTATGAGCTTCAGAAGTCCACTGTGGGACTTGGCTTCTGGCAGCCTTTCCAGGCACTTGGTCAACGCCCTAACCTTCAGTGGAGACTGTTTTTGGGTTGTATGCTCTTCTTCTGGCAGAACGGATCCGGAATCAATGCGATCAACTACTATTCTCCCACCATCTTCTCAGTAAGTCTTGTCTCTTGGCCATTTCCTGGGAGGCTGCGTTGTTGCTGACTGTCGTTCGCCAGAGCATTGGCATTGATTCGAATACTGTGAACTTGATGACGGGCATTTTCGGTGTCATCAAGGCTGTCATGACCTTCGTCTGGCTGTTGTTCCTGGTTGATCAGCTTGGAAGACGTAAGCTTCTACTGATTGGTGCCATCACCGGCTCCATCTGCATGTGGGTGATTGGCGCGTATGTCTGCGTCGTCGAGCCGACGAAGAACCCTCAGGATCACTTGACCGGCAGTGGCTATGCTGCTATCGTCTTCTTCTACCTCTGGACTGCAGTCTATACCCCGACATGGAACGGCACCCCGTGGGTCATCAATTCCGTGAGTCAACCCTTCCAGAGTCTCTCAACCATTGGCTGACATTCTATACAGGAATTCTTCGACCCCAACTTTCGTTCTTTGGCAGGCGGCGCCACCACGGCAAGCAATTGGCTGTTCAACTTTCTCGTATCGAGGTTCACGGAGCAGATGTTTGCGGCTATGGGCTATGGCGTGTACTTCTTCTTTGCCTCGCTCTCCTTCTTGGCATTTTTCTTCGCCTTTTTCCTTATTCCAGAGACCAGTGGCGTTCCGCTTGAGAAGGTTGACCGCCTCTTCGAGATCAAGCCTGTATGGAAGGCGAACGAGACGTTGATGGCTCAGTTGAGAGAAGAGGAGGTGCAGTTCCGCACAGACGCCAAGGGCGAGGCTACGCACAAGGAGGTTGCTAACGGCAACAAGTCTGAGTCTGACTCAGCTTAGGTCCTGATGAACGCGCACAGTAAATAGAAGCCAATGATTTTGGAAACGCGGAATTCAAAACGAATTAATAATCGGTATTCGAACGGAACGAACACATACATTACCTTGAATTCAGTGTACGTTAATGACACCTGAAGCTTTTCGAAAGTCTTAGCATAAGATTTGCATTTCGTCACCTATCCTAGTGACTTCCCACTTTTTGCATCACATCCTTTGCTCAAACGCGTCCTAGGTTGAT